TTTCCCTTTGTCTTTCTCATTCATCTGCCTCCTTAGTGAGGCAAGTTTACTCAAAATGATCAATGCCTCCATATGTTACAGTGACATCGGGAATGATTCTGTACTTGAGCCTTTTAGGTATTGGTGTTAACATTATATTTCTAGGACTTTAAGGTGTCCTTGAACCTTTTCTTTTGTCTGCCTCTAAAGTGATTACTGTAAGTAATTTGGGAGTATAAGACCTGTTTCAGGACCCAGTTGTCAAGTATCCTTATAACCTATCCTGTCCAACAGAACTGGGGCTGTATAAACTTGTCTTCAGTGCTGGTAGTGTTTACTTGATCCAGAACACTGATGTTCATTCTTCTGTCCTTCCAGTTGATATGGAGGATTTTTCAAAGACATTGCTGGTGGCAACCTTCCAAATCTTTTAGGTGTTTCTGATATATAATTCAAATTTCACACTCATACAACAGGGCAGGGATGACAACATCCTGGTAGAAGAAAAGTTTGGTTTGGGTCTCGTTATCATGGTCATCAAACACATGGTATTGGAGATATCCAAAGATAGCATTGGCATATTTTAGTCAGCAATAAATATCATAATCTATGATTACTTTTTGGGAAAGGCTAGGGGAAACCCAGATAGGGGAAATGGTCAACATTATCCAAGGACTGCCCTCAAATTGTAATATGTGGAGGAGCAGCTGGTTGGTTTGTGGTGGATTGGTAAAGTATCTTGGTCTTCAATAAGTTGACACTGAAGCCAACCATGAAATTCTTGCATATCACAGGAGTGTGGTCATGGGTAGATATAGCTTGTTTAGGAAGGATAGGCAGGGGAAAAAGGAGGAAGTGTTCCCTTATATATAAAGGAGATAAACATGTATTCTGAGGTGCTGCATGAAGTGAAAGGTATGCCTGTTGAAAGCCTTTGGATAAAGGTCAGAGGGGAGAGCAGCAGAGGGATGGCACTATGCGCATCTGGTGTATGCCACAAAACAAGGAGAAGGTAGGTGAGGCCTTCTTTACATTGATAGACATTTCCAAATCACAAGACCTAGTTCCAATGGGGGACTTTAATTACAGTAATATCTGGGTCATGCTGGGGAAGTGTGTGGGTCAGGAACACTCCTGGTGCTCTGGAAGGGTTCCTGTTGCAGGAGAATGGGCTGTCCCCACCAGAGTGGGGCAAAGCATCCTTCCTGGTATGGATCCCAGGGGGCTGGAATGCATGTATGCACCAACTCCCAAACTATTTTTTAGTGCTAAAAAATTCACCGAATTTCTGGAATGCCTCTCTATGGCCTTAGAGAAGCTAGATGCTTTCAAGTAGGTAGGCAGAGCTGATGTGATGCACCCTAAGGTACTAAAGAAATTATCTGAGATAATGTCAGAGCCATTGGCTATCCTCTTTGACAATTTGTGTACATCAGGTGAGGTCCCGGCTGATTGGAAAAGGGCAAATATTTCAAAAAAGGAAGAAGGATCCAAGGCAATACAGACCAGTAAGCCTGACCTCAATACTTGGAAAGCAGGTGTTTAGGGAATCTATTTTTAAGCAAGGTAATCAGGAGCAACCAGCATGGATTCAGCAAGAACAATACATGTCATACCTGAGCAACTTGATTTTCCTTCTATGATAAGGCGACAGGTTCAGTGGATGGGCGGAGAGCTGTGGATGAGATGTATACCCTGAGTTTAGTAAGGCTTCAGACACTTTCCCATTACATTCTCATTAATAAACTAAGGAAATACAGACTAGATGGAAGTACTGTAAAGTGAATATGTAACTTGTTGAAATATCATGTTTAATGAGTACTCATCAATGGCTCAATTTCTAGTTGGGAGGAGGTATGACGTAGGGTTCCCCAAGGGTCTGACCTGATTCTGGTATTGTTTAATATCTTCATTAATGATTTGGATGATAGGATCGAGTGAACACTTAGCAAATTTGCAGATGACACCAAGTTAGGTGAAGTTGCAGACACTCTGGAGAGTAGGACTAGGATCCAGAATGACCTGGATAGACTGGAAAAATGGTCCATAATTGATCAGATGAGATTTAACAAAGACAAGTACAAAGTTCTGCACTTGGGATGGAATAATTGCATATACAAATACAGAATGGGGAATGATGGGCTAGGCTTCAGTACCGCAGAGAAAAAACCTGGGGGTTTTATTTGACCATAAGCTGACTATAAGCCAACAGTGTGTTCTTGCTGCAAAAAAAGCCAAGAGCATACTGGATTGTATTAACAGGACTCTCGTTTGCAAATCAAGGAAGTGATTCTTCTGCTCTGTTTGCCATTGGTGAGGCCTTATCTGGAGTACTGTGTCCAGTTGTGGATTCCACACTTCAGGAACAATGTAGACAGATGGGAAAGTGTCCTGTAGAGGGTGACAATAATGATTAGAGTTCTTGAAGACAGTTTATGGGGAAAACCTGAAAGAACTAGGATTGTTTAGTGTGAAGAAGAGATGGGAAAAGGTGAACTGGGATTTGATAACAGTCTTCAAATATCTGAGGGGTGATTATAAAGAGGATAGGGAGAGACCCTTCTTATGACTGTTGGGGACAGAACAAGAGCTATGGCCTCTATCTGCAACAGAGGAAATTTTGGTTGGATTATATGGAAGAACTTTCTGACTATGCGAATGGGCAAGCATTGGAACAGGCCACTAGAGAAGTTGTGGAATTTCCATCCCTGGAAATTTTCAAGAGCAGAGAGACAAGAGTTAGAGAGAGATTTGTCTGGGATGGTTTTGTCAGGTAGAATCCTACCTTGAACAGCAGGCAGGACTAAATAATCTCATGAAGTTCCTTCCAGCCCTGCTTTCTTATGGTCCTATAAGAAACGATACGGCAAAGCGTTCAGCAGATTTTTCAGCTACAGTTTGATTATATAATATTGCGTTTCCCATAGGAAAAGCATGAAGTATACAAGGACAGGAATGTAGGTTGTAGCCGTGTTGGTCTAAGGACATAGGCAGACAAGGTTCCTTGGGTGAATTTGATATCTTTTATTAGACCAAACCAAATAGTTGGAGAATAGTTATTAAGCAAGCTTTCGAGTTCAAAAACCTTTCGTCAGGCTAAGGAAGTTTCAGCAGTTGGTGTGCACTCTTCCTGGAAGTATTTTATGAATCTTACACTCCAGGATTAGGTGTCAGCTGAGAGGGAGATTCATGGTTCCTAGTTTTGGATTTAGGTGTCTTGACTGAATTTAGTTAGGTGAAACTTAGACATCAAAGTCTTTGTGGGTCTAGTCTTTAGGACTTGATTCTGCAGACTCCTAGCCTTACTATCATGAGTATTGTTAATTGGATGTAATAAAATTAAACATGTGCATAACAATTTTTAGGATCAAGACCCAATTCGGAAGGAATTAAAACAAACAAACAAACAAAACCCCAATGAGAGTGCCTCAATTTTATATTTCCCTTAGTTTGAAACCACTTGTGTGAAGTGAACCACTTGTAATGGTTTTTAATGCTTAGAACATTGTAGTAATGCAATAACTCATTTGTGTTTGATTGAGAAACAACCAAAAGAAATGTTATTGAAACTGCATTCTTGTATACTTGTTTTACAGAAAAGAACAGGCTCTTATGTGAGGTTTCATGGTGGCCTTTGTAAAAACTTCTGCAGAGAGCCGATACAAAAGTACGAAAGACAAAGAACTGCAGGGCACCCACCATGAACATCTATTTATGACTGGTTTTAACTATTGATAACTGGCCAGTGCCTGCCTTTATTCCCACTGGTCAGATAGAGGAGTATTTAAAGATCCTACATTTTTTAAAATGAATTCATCCAGTATACATGCACACCATTATGTTCCAAATTGCAAATATTTAACTTATCTGTCATAAAAAACTTATTGTTTAAAATCTTTATTTTATTTAACTCCTTTTTCGCTTTTGTCTCCAAACTCTCACACACAAAATAACATTGCTGTAACTGAAAGAAGTCAGTGTGAAGGTGCACTGGACATATATGTTTTAAATAGTACTAAGGGTATTACAAAAATTTTCAAGGCCATTTTTCATAGTATAAGCTATTTCTGCCATAGCAGAATTACTCCATTGCAACAGGGTATTTATGGCTTCAAGAAATTAGGATAGTACAAAGCATTTTATTTTATGAAGTGGAAAAGATTTTGAATAATATTTGGGAGACTTATATAGTACTGCTCAGAAAGGCCAAACTTGATTGGAAATGGTTAACAAAAGCTTTAGCTGGTTTCCTCTTGTAACAAGTAACTTTAATATCTGCTGCAGCTGCTCAGCTTTTCAGCATCTCTTTTGCCTGATGTGTCCTTTAAGAGGCAATGGCACATATTGCTTCACACATTGGGTTGCTCTACCTTTGTGCAGCAGTTCTTTACTCTGTAAAATGTTCTTCTCAGTACACAAAAGCAGCTGCTGAAGAAACAGCTTCAGACTGAGAGTGCGAGAACCGACAGCAGCACCGCTAAGCAACCTCCAGTGGAGACAGAGAAGAGAGACGGATAAGTGCACAGACGCCCACAGGAGTTTCTGTAAGAGACAAAATTATCAGCTTGGCTCACCTCAGCTTTATTTCCTATTTCCAGACCCCCAGGTGAGATTGGAAAAAAGCCATAGAGCCAATTTGGCTGTAGAAAGATGGACCTGTATTTTGCTTAACTTTTAGAGAATTCCCCTTGAGTTTTGAAATAGGGTATTTTACAAAGATGGTGCCAGCAGCCCTTTTTTTCCTTTGTCTTACTGAACTTTTTTTTTTCAGTAGTGACTAAAATATACCCTAAGGAAAAAGTCCTGTACCTATCTGAAGTTTTATTGGAAAATGTAGTTAATTCATTAACAATTCCACAGTGCATAGACTTCAGAAATGTCTATAGCTGACTAGGTTCCCCATGCAATGCATCAAACAGCCTCCTGAAAATGGTGGCAGAAAGCCAAACATGCAAAAAAACTGATGTTTGCTACTTAGTTTTTGGGCTTGTGTTTAAATATGTTTCATTCTAATAATTTGTAATAGGAGAGTTACCCTGAAAGACCCCCAAAAGCTCCGCATAAAACATGCAGAGCTATTTCTCTCTATGCTCAAGCTTTATTTCAGGGGGGCGGGTTGGGTTTTGTTTTTTGTTTTTTTTGCACTGCTCTTGCTATGCAGCGATCTGTAAAGGGAACCTACTCTGATACAGTTTGAAAAGTGCATTTTGTACTTGGCTCTCCCTTTGATCGAATTAATCTGGGCTTTTTTGTAGTTCTAAATGAGGCCTATGGGCTGACAATGTAGCTGTTTAAAGGGGATTTTAGGGGATAATAGCCAATGCAAATAGTGCCATGAGAATGGCAACTTGCTTTTTCACTTTCAATCACATAATAACAGCAAAGAAAGCTTTTAAAATGAATTGAAATTTTGTGGCATGCCATCTGGGATTATTTGGGGAAACAGTTCTGAATACTGTGGTTGTGCAGAAGAATGGTACTATGGACCACTCTTAAGCTGACATGTTTCAGATGGCAACCTTATGCTAACTGCTGCAAAGTTGGCTAGCATTTTTTTATTATTTTCTTTCTCTTGGATTATCTGCAAAAAATTCTCTTTGCTGGTATTTGGGCCTGAAAAACTTTTCTATTGTTAAAGAATTCAATTCAAACCCCTTGCAGCTGCTGATCCCTTTATTGTTCCAATCGTTATGTATACGCGTCTCAGATGAATGTAGCCAAGCCTTTTAGTGCCTTAATAGGTGTCTGTGTAAAGGTCATTTATTCTGCAGTACTTGTTTTAACAAAAGTTTATACACAAACAACAACTACAGCTAAAACATTCACATTAATCAATGCTCCTTGCAGTGTAAAATGCAAAAAAGGGGGAAAAAGGTAAAAGAAAACCCTAACTAGAAGAATGTCAAAAGCATGAGAATATTTTCTGTGTAATACTATGAAAAAGCAAATTAATTAGGCACCACCATCATCAAAAGCTATATGAAGAAAATATTTTAAAGCTGTTTCTAACTAGGACAAGTGATTCCACCTTTTTAAATAGAGGTGCATTTTAGATGAGACTGTTGAGAAGTTTAATACATAAGAACAAATGGAAACTAGAAAATAGTGATTTCTCTGGGACCCCCAATTATCGCAGCTAGGCTGTGCTCTAGAAAGCACCTTGACCTCTTGGTTGACATGTCTGCCTTCTCTTTCCTTCTCCCTCTCTCTTTGCAGTAGCTCCAACTGATTAGCTTTTACAAACATTCTTGAAGAAAATAGAGTGTATGCAAGTCAGATACATGAGATACGAAGCTTTGAGTGACCCATCTAGTGAGCTAGCTCTACTTCTTAAAAGGAATTATAAAATATACAGCTGGCCCCTACAGACCTAAGTCAAGTATATGAAGAATTGAAAAGTGGGTAAAATGATGAAGAAAACTATAAGCCAAATCTGAATTGTAGTTCCGGCAGTGAAACTGCAGAGCAGCTCTGCTGACTTCAGAGGAGTTTCTTCTATTTATATGCATGTAACCTGAGATCAGAATTTGACATTCTAATTACAGATTCTAGGTCAGTAGAAAATAAGTCCAGAGTAGCCAAATGCCAGCTATCAGTGATGTGAGGAATGGGACTTGTCAGGAATAGTGAATGTAATGTGTGAGCTATAATGAAAGAACATGGGGAGGAGACCAGGGGGGCCCCCAGCTACTTACTCAATCTCTAATAGAAGAGCAAATGCAGGCGGAAAAGGCTGTGCTCATTTTCAGCTTAAAATTTCTGGCATTCTTTCTTGTAACTGTTCCTTCTTCCACCCCTAATTGCTACCTGAATTATAAATGTATCATAATGAAGCTATTACCACTAGGGGCATTTCAACACATGAACTCTCACATCCCAGGTTAAGCAATATACATAGATCACAACTGCCTTGTATACAAAGCCCAGCAATTGTTTCAGCAAAGGTCTGAGAAAATTAATGTGCATTCCATTGTGCCATAATGATCAACAGGCGTTGTCTCTGTTAGACTGGAGATGATCTTTTAGTTGAGGATTACATGGAGACTGTCCATATACTGAGATTGCCAACGTGAGCAATTCAGCTGATCTAAAATGTTAGTTGTTAACTGGCAGTGAAGGGACAAGCAACACCTCTGCCATACTCTGTGGATGCGTCTCATCCTCTCCTTCTCCACCCTGTCACAACTGTTTCTTTTGGAACCTGATATACCTTTTTCAGACACATGGATTTAGCACAGACTAG